ATAAATAGTAGCTTAAATCTAATACTAAAGCTATACTAGTACACTAAATAAGCTCTAACTATATCTCTACTTATACTTCTTTTATAAGTTCTTTTAGTATTAGTAAGTCTATTTAAAGCTAATTTTATTACTAGTTATATTATCTTATATACTAAAGCTTAATTAAGCCTCTTTATTATTAATTAATTACTTTTCTCTTAAACGCGCTACTTTATAAATTCTCTTAAGATTATTATTCTAGAAGCTATTATAGAAGCTATTATAAACTATCTTATTTATACTATACTAAAGACTATTATAAGTACTCTAAAGAGCTACTTTACTAGTATAAAGCTATACGCTAGGCCTATTAATATTTCTATTATACCTATTTCTATTATACTTATCTTTATTATATTTATTTCTTTTACCTCTATTTCTATTATTTCTATTATATATATAACTAGCGTAAAACTTTTTATTATTTTCTTTTTTAGTTTTACTTTTAAGAAGCTTATTAGTAAGATATATAAGCTTTTTAGTAAATATAGTCTACTTTTAAAGTAATAAAAAGAGTATTCTATTTATAATCTTACTAAAATATACTTAATTACTTATACTATTTATATTTATAACTAAATATATAAAGTAAGATTAATATTAAGTTTATAGCTCTCTCTAGCTTTTAAAAATACTATACTTTAGTAAAGAAACGCTTTAGCTAAAATACTTTATAAAGATAATAAAAGCTAAAATAATAAAAATATAGTATTTATAGCTTATTTTATATAGTAAGATACTATTTACTAAATAGTAGATATAATAAACTACTATAAGTTCTATTAATACCTAGACTATAAAAGAATAGTTATTATATTATAGTTATTAAAGAATATATACTATAAAGCTATTATAGTATTTACGTTACTACTATATTATATAGTTCTTAATTACTATTTAAGCTTCTAGAAGTTATATAAATAAGAGTAATATTAGTTAGAAGTCTTAGTACTAATAGTAATATACTCTAAGTTTATTAAAATCTACTAGTAGTTCTAAAACTAATAGCTAAGCGTTTTTTAACGTCTTTTTATTAAATAGAGTCTGCAAAATTAGGCACAAGGCACTATTGCTTTAGTATTATTTATATATAGAGCTTTCTCTCTCTTCTATAGAACAATTACATCTCTTCTTATTCTACACAAGGTGCGCCGCGACTGCAGTAAATACCCGCGGCCACGTTGTATCTCGATGTACCAGTGATGTTTTCCCAGGTAATGTCGCTAATCTTCAAGCGGCTCGAATCGCAATTCTGGTAGCTGTAGATACACGGGGAGACGTATATAGGCTGGTTGACGTCCTGAAACTTGATGTTGCGGAAGGTGACGTTCTTAACATGGCCTTGGCCAGGGTATGTCTTGATCCAGGCCGCGTTGGAACTATGAATGGCAGTAATGTCCTCGAAGAGTACGTTGTCCACCGTCTCGGGAACGTTCGTGGGATTGCCCATTGAGCCAATCACCATGGCGCCAGACTCGTAGCAGGTGGCGTTCTTAACATGGATGTTTTTGCTGTTGCCTTTAACCGATATGCAGTCCTCCGAACAGATTAGGTATAGCACAGACGCGAGATCGATGAGAACTTACATCGCCGCACGTCACCACCCAATTTTTGAGCACAATATCTTGGGAGTTCCAGCTATCGAAGCCATCTGTATTGACGGTACCCCACTGGGAGGATGAAGTGGCGTTCATGTCAAGGTTTGTCATCGTGATGTTCTGCGAGTAGGCGACGAATGTATGCCTGTTGTGCGGTTAGCGATGGGCTCACGACCGGTAAGTATGGTTCCTCATGTCGTTGGAGAGACATACCAGAACTGGGACTGCCTCCAAGTAATTCCATCAATCCATACGTTCTTCGCATGCCAGAGTGTCAGACTGATGGGCCTACCGGCCATGTTGCTCCCATCACGGTTCACGTCGTACCACTTCTGCCCATTGCCAAAGAAGAGTGCTTCACCGTGACCTTGCAGAGTGAAGTTCTCACCGCCAAGCCGGAATGCTGTACTTCGTTGAGAATATGTCACACTAACGCTGTTGCGTACCCAGTATTGGATGTCGTCGCTCCAAGTCAGTTTGCCACGGATGGAGATGTCACAGTTCTTAAGGTCCAGGACGTCCATAACTTTGGCGATGGTGTAGTCACCTGTCGTTATCTCAATCTGACCGTTCTGGCCACATTGCTTGAAGGCGTCCATGATGGAAGGGCTGTCATCCTTGGTGCCGGACGGAGTGACGGTGCAGAGTGTGCCGGTCTTGGTCATACCAGCAAGTGCTGGTACGAGCAGAAGCCATAGATGAAGTAAAGCGAGCTGAATCATTTTTTCGACTTCGAACAGAGTCCTGTAGAGTAAGGAACAGTGGAGAAAAGCTAAGATACTCAAGCTTTATGAAAGCTTGTACGGTGGGACCGTTGCGCCCCGCAAGCAGGTGTCATCCTACAGACTATACGCATGGAGTAATCTGAGAAATTCTACCATTGGTGCAAGTATTATCTGAGATGGTAGTTTCTCCGTGCGAGTGCCCGTACCACCGGATGTTGTTCGGCTCTTGAGCTCTGAGCAATCTAATAGATGAACGGGCCGGGATATCGCTGTGGGGAGCGAAGAAGTGTGTCGGAAAGCTCTATGCGAAGAGCAGATCAAGCTGGGGATGGACTTCTCGATGGCGCATGACTGAGCATCCGAATGAGATCTGGTGTCCGGCCAATGATGAAGACTAGGACATCAGGAGCCCTTGTGAGATCAAATCCCGAGAAAGGCTAACGGAGGAAGATAATCCGCAGTTACAGCCTACTGAACGAGGCCTCTAAAGGTGACCCGTGAGAATACCAGATCGATAATGCTTGAGTCGTTGTTGAAACCGAGTTTTGAGATTGGTACGATGATCATGCTTGGGAAACGAGTATGCGCCACATAAGCAGGGGCGAGACGTCAAATCAAATGAGAGCTGGATATGCGAGAAGGATCGACTGCATTGCAGATGTGTCGTATACGACCACAAAGTTAGGTTGTGTAGGGAAGGAGAGGATGTAGGAAACGCGGCACCTGTACCTGGTGCCAAGCCCGCGTCATTGGCTGGTTCCGAGCTTCCTCACGGCTCAAAGTTGGCAGCGCCATCTCGACCAGGCAATTGTGCAGCCATTGAGTGTCGCATGGGCTGCCTATCACACCCATGATGATGAACCCCGCCGCGAATATGCGTGCTCTACGCGTGCGGCCATCGGTACCGCGCTGCCGCCCCTCACATCGCCCGTTCCAACACCCCAGAAGACAGGCCACGACGGCCACGGAAACCGCGACCAACGTTGGATCGGCTGGTACCCGTACCAAGAACCTCGTATACGGCACCCTCCTGACGCTCGGTGGTACTTTTGGCTACCTCTACGTCACCGACACGCGCGCAAGCATCCACGAATGGCTTGTTGTGCCTGCGCTACGACAAATATACCCTGATGGCGAAGAGGCGCATCATGCTGGAACACACATGCTCAAGGTGCTGCATAGCTTTGGCCTGAACCCTCGGGAACGCGGCGTGGCTGACTCCCAGGGTGATCTGGCTGTCGAAGTCTTTGGACACACACTGAACAACCCGATTGGAACATCTGCCGGCATTGACAAGGGCGCCGAAATACCGACACCGCTGTTCGAGCTCGGAGCAGGAGTGGTCGAGGTGGGAGCTGTCACGCTGCTGCCACAGGAGGGCAACCCCAAGCCCCGTGTCTTCAGGATACCCAGCCAAAACGCTCTCATCAACCGCTACGGCTTCAACTCGGAAGGCGCCGAGCTGGTCGCCTCACGGTTACGACAACGCGTCAGGGAATTCGCATACCACGCTGGCCTTGGACTGGGTGAAGATGCCGAACGCCAGGTCCTCGACGGTGAAGCTGGCGTTCCACCAGGCTCGCTGCTCAAGGGGCGTCTAATGGCCGTGCAGGTTGCGAAGAACAAGACGACCTCCGAGAACGACATCGATGCTGTAGTACGCGACTATGCCACCGCCGTGGGCCATGTTGGCAAGTACGCCGACATTCTAGTAGTCAACGTCTCCTCGCCCAACACACCTGGTCTTCGCACTCTCCAAAACGTCGAGCCCTTGACGCGGTTGCTCTCCGGAGTAGTAGGCGCCGTCAAGAAGATCGACCGCAAGACAAAGCCTGTTGTTATGGTCAAAGTCAGCCCCGATGAGGACTCGGAAGAGCAGGTGTCAGGCATCTGTGAGGCAGTCTGGGACTCCGGTGTGGATGGTGTCATCGTTGGCAACACCACGAAGAAGCGACCAGACCCACTGCCGAAGGGCTACCTACTTCCCCAATCAGAAGCAAAGTTGCTTCTCGAACAGGGAGGCTACTCAGGTCCCCAGACTTTCGAGCGCACACTTTCGCTTGTCAGCAGGTACAGGAAAGCGCTCGACGAAGGCCCAAAGCACATTGCACCACCGTCACAAGCCCACACCGACGAGCCAACCGCTGGCCAGAGCACAGACGACAAGCCCTCTACCGGGTCTTCCAAAACCAAGCCAACGCTCGATCTCGACCAACCGTCTCCAACACAACTTTCTTCCAACGTCGACGATCTTTCCGAATCAGCACCTACAATGACCCTTCACTCTACACCCAGGACTGCGCCAGCACCAGACGCACCACGCAAGATTATATTCGCAACGGGCGGCATCACAAATGGTCGGCAGGCGAGAGAGATCCTCGATGCGGGAGCGAGTGTGGCACAGGTATACACTGCTATGATCTATGGCGGTGCAGGCATAATCAGCAAGATCAAGCAGGAGATGAGGGATGATGCAAAGGAGCAGAAGACGATCACCAAGCGGTAGCCAGAAGAAGCGTGGGTAGGCATTGTATGTATACACTGTCTTCTAAATGCATTACTCAATTCATGAGATCATCCTTCACTCTACGAACCAAATATGCGGTGGCTCCCCCGTGACGCAAACATAGCCTCCAATCTAAGACGCCGCTGGCTGACTCTCATTAGCCAGCCAGTCTACTACCTCTACCGCCAGTTTCATGAAATCCAGCGGCTCAGGAGGAACTATGATCTTCCCGTTAAGCACTAGCCTCAGTAGAAGCTTGATGCTGCCGCACGACTTGAGTTCTGCCCGTAAGCCCTGTCGCTTCGCTTCGCTCGCAATCAAGATGGTTACCATGGCACCATCAGTAAGACAGAAGTGGCTCTGCTTCATCTTGTGTCTTGCACGTAGTGCAAAAGATGCCTTACTTTCACACTGCTTAAGAACTTGCGCGTCTATTGGAACACCCGCATCGACCAGGTGGCGGGTCATAAGGAAGTGGGTCGTTGCCCTGTCTGCAAAAGTTGTCATACCTTCGACGAGATGTTGTGATCCGATATGGGCGCCGCGGCTTCTGAGGAGATCGACCAAGCTTCGATGTCCGTAACGTGCTGCTTCCAGCGATGTTTGTTGGATGAGGTGATCGCGATTAAAAAGCACGAAATCGCCACCAAGTATGCGGCATACGAGTTCGGAATGTCCAGCTTCGCAAGCTTCTTTTAACGCGTACTGCAAATCGCTGTGGTGATCCGCTGGAGTGCGTTTCGGGATATCGTCCTTCAAAATCGTCACGAGGGTTTCGGTTTTGCCGTTTTGTGCTCCATCGGTAATCAACTTTTTCCAAATCTCCGGGATTCGGGCTTCACGGCGAGTGACGAAAAATTCTAGTAACATTCGCACTGATTCTGTGTCTCCAGCTTTCATGGCATGACACACCGCAGTCTCGAATGTGACGAGAATCCAGTCACGTTCCCGCGCTCCAAGAGTCGGGAAATCATGTCTTGCAAGCTCTACAAGCTTAAGAACCATTGGAGTGTGGCCACACACTGCAGCTGCTTTGATCGGGCCAGTGAGTATGCCAGAAGTGTACCCCAGAGGGTCTGCCCCTTGTGCTATGAAATGATCGACAGCTTCGATATTTCCCACAGCGGCCGCCGCGGTCAAAAGATCTACCGAGGTTATCGGCGTTGCAGAGTGCTTCAAATCTTTCCTTCGATCGTTATCCATTGTATCTGGGGGTAAGAAGTCCGGCTTGCTGGAATATTTGTCGGAACCATCTCGCAGTATTTCCATGCCTGGTCTTAGGACGCTATAGGTGAGACATATATCACTAAGATAGGCCTTGCGCACAGTAGTGTCAATGACATCGTTTGTGGGGTTCGTAAATTGCATCATCTCGTCAGTAAGTTTGTCTGTTGTCCATATTCCGTTAGCAGTTTGGACTCGACTTTTCGCCAAAAACATTTTCTCACTTACTGAGGCACTTGGTCAAGTCCCGGTTCATACCACGATTGCGCATACAATGATTCATGTGCAAAGTATGCGAATTCTTTCGGAGGAAAGTTGGTGGTCCGTTATCATGACGGTCATCAACTTCCGGCTCGATGTTGCGGAGATATGTCTCGTAGACGATTGCCGGAGTTTGCGCCAACAGTACGTGGTCGATCGCATTTCGAAACGTCCCTAAAGACGCATTAGTCGCGAACAAACAATGCCGATGCAAAGTGAGGAATTAATATGAACCTGCTCGGATCTCTATCAAAGCAATCGAGTATGTACTTACGAGACACGATGCGGGCACGAAAGCTCTCGTGGAGCGGGACGGTATCGACGTACACTTTCAGGATTGGGTCGAAGAGCTCCGCAGGTAGGGTTTGGATTAACGTCATGGCGAAGGTAGCACGATTTACTTGGACTGTGTCTTGTTTGATAGCTACATGTGTCGTGCTACGACATAGGAAGCGGGGAACGGGCTTGTTGGATTCTTATCGATGAAACTTGCAGGGTTCGGAACACCTCGCACGTCCCTAGGTAAACAAAGGGTCCCTTGGTGAGGTAAGCGAGACGCGACTATGGGCGAGATCCTTTTGAGTGCGCGCTCGTCTCGTAATAATCCAATTGCGATAACTTTAAGGGGTACTTTACGTAGTTAGGTATGTAATAACTCTAACTTGCCGACGAATGCTGCGCTGGTACGTCTCCATGTAGATCCGAGCTCGTCACGGTCACTCGATTTGCAATGCAACGGCTTAACTCTCATCAAATTTCAGATAGAATTTGACGCTCTTCCATCTCGATAGATCTCTTGATGTCGGTTATGATGGGAGATAATGCACGACGAGGTGAGCCGTCACCTCTTCACGATGACGTCAGACATCATCACATCGGCTACCTCTGTGCACGTCCCCTAAGAAGCTGGCGATAGATGGGCGGCCCAATTCGATCGCGATGCAAAATCAACACCTTCATTCCAGACTGATGTCAGCGCTCTTGATACCACCATGGATACACATGCGAGACCTGTGGCGCCAGAGAGTACAACGCGTCCAGACACAACGGATGCCGCATTGCTGCAGCGTTATGTGCCTTCTATATACCGCTCCGGAACTGTTCAGCAAACTGGTCGATTACATCCTATTCAAGTTGGAGAAATCCTGGAATCCCTCGATACCTACAATCAGCGCATTCAACACCACCCATATGATCCTCAAGCCTGGTTCGAGCGTGGCCGTCGCATGTGGATGCTCAACTTCCCTGAGCTTGCAGTCGGCGACATTTACAAAGCCAAACTACTGCAAGCAGGCGATCCGGATGCCAATAAAGATCTAAGAGAATCGGTGTATGAATTGCTCGCAGTTGCTCTTCAAGCTTGTCATTGTCAATGGGACGCAGTCGAGATACTGGAAGAGTCGATAATGCACTCTCGACCCTTGTGGTGCGAGAAGGCTACAGAGAGAGCTGGAGACCTGCGCGGGCTTTTGAAGCGAAAAGAGGAGGCTGCAAGGGCTCTTGGGGGCACACCTCATGAGGTGCAAGATAGAGTGAGAGATGGCGGAGTGCTTACAGTAGAGTATCCATGGACCATCGAGCGCTATCTGACCCGTTCATCGGAGCTCATTGAGTTGGTAAACGAGGAGCTCAGCGAGACTGGCAACGATGCACCATGTTTTCTTGGTAGAAGTACCTTGGCAAAAGACCCAGGCGAAGACATGCTGGGTATGTTTGCGGCTCGCGACATAAAGGTTGGCGAATGTGTACTTACAGACCGGAGCGCAACCGGTGTATGCAGCACCCCGCCACCACATTGCTGTTCAAGTTGCTATGCGCGTTTGCCGGATGGTCCCAAGGGGGTTACGTGCTGTTCCGAGAGTTACTGCTCCGACGAATGTCTCCGCCTCGCGATGAACACCTATCATAGAGTTTTATGCGGTAAAGACTTTGAATGGCTCCAGGCACCCGCTAGGGGCCTGACGCACAACGCCTCACCTCTCCGACCTCTCCTCATGTTACGATTGCTGGCAACATGCGTTCAAGCTGGTGTTGAAAAGTCCCCGTTAGATCACCCGCTGATTGCGCGTCTCAAGCCTCTCGCCAACAAAGATCATCTTGATGTCTTCACTCTCAATGAATCCATCATCATCCCATTCAAGATATTAGAGCAACTCGGTGTGGACGTCTTCGCAGACCGCAACTTCGATACTGAGGTTCTTCATTCCATCTGGACGCGTCTGGCCAACAACAAAGCTGGTTCTTTGGACCACCGGCTTGGCTTCGTTGATGAAATCACACCTCATCTGCCGTTGTTCAATCACAGTTGCGCACCGAACGTGGAGTGGAGAAGGGAAAATGGAAGTACGACTGTACGCTTTTTCGCGATCAAGCCAGTGATGATGGGAGATGAACTGTTTTGCAGCTATGTCAACGTCCATGGTATACCGGTGGAGCAGAGACAGGACTTGCTGTCGCCATGGTTTGAAGGGCCATGTCTGTGTTCCAGATGCACAGAGGAGATGGCCTAGCTGTGCTCTCAGATGATTACCACGTCACATGCAGATGTAGATGGGCAGTGCATATTAATGATTGTAAGACGGACGACTAGTCTAACTCTCCAAATGACGTCTATCAATGAGACGGCTGTAATTTCCCTTCATGGGGTCTCGAAGCCACGAGCCGTGACCGTGACGTTTGCGTAGAGTTTTCTTCGTCCAACATATCTTTGAAGACTTCGAGATCACTTCTTCACGTTCTTGTCAGGCCACATGAAGTTGCTGGCATCGCCACGCTTCAACGCATCCACGCCTGGCGGAACGCTGGGCTGCCGTGTAGGATGCACTTTATCATCCATATCACCTCCCTTCTTTGCGGTGGCTTGTGCCAGCCCTCTTAATACGCTTTTACCGAACCTTGTGCCCTCGCTCTTCCGCTTGTAGACGTCGGGCTTGGAGTTCACGTCCTGAGGCTTGGGTAGCTCCAATTTGGGCGGCTTAGGCTTCTCTGCACCCTTTTCTGCAACCTTGTCAAGTGTCTCTATCAGCTTCTGCCCGTTGCCCGTCTTGTCTTGATATTCCCGGGCGAGTGAGAAGTCGTCTTCTTTGAACAGCAACACCGCGTTGTTGGGTTCGAGGGCGAAGATGCCCCTCGTCGTGAGCGCTGCGAGGGCCCTATCTCCCATGTAGGCGTCTTGGAAGATATCGGCAGTGATGGCTAGCTTAATGATGCTTGACCAGGACTGTTCGATGGCCAGCGAGTCGACGGATGTGAACTGCGATTTGAGATATAGTTTCACCATGAAGAGGTCGGGGAGGGAGAGATGCAAGTATCGTTGTGATGGTTCGAGAGTGCAGACATGATTGAGGAGTTTAGAAGACCTGGGCATGTCGGCGATGAAGATGTGGTGACGAGTCTCTCGATGGGGACCAAGTAGGATCGTGATACGGTCGTCGTAGACGACTCCGGCTTCGTGCGCTGTTACAAAATCCCAGTCCTCGTCGGCTCCATCCGGCGTGCCATTGTCATCTGCGCGTGGCAAGGTGCCTGTGTCGACAGGCGTCGCATTCTTCAGGCTAACGAACAAGTTGGTGATGAAAGACATTGCGCTATGTCGTCGCCAAAGGTTGCGCCGGCTGGCAAGGGTCGGTTATGGACAGATACAGCGAACGGTTGGGAGGGTTAGTAGAGTTGAAATATGGAAGGGCTGTAGGCGCTGGGCGCAGTTGACGACAAGGCGCACTGCCTGGTCCAGGTGGCGCGTTTCGACGCGCGGGAGAGTGCACGACAAAATGGGCGGGGTGTCACTTTCACGGGTCCAGTGGAACCCAAGTAATCACAACGTATTGTGAACCACACTTTTGAAAGTCTATCACAGGGTGTCCCCTCGTCAGCACTTTAAACCCACCTTATCTCGGCATGTACACGCGCAACGGTCCTCCCGCAACGATATGTCACCGTTTGAAGCCTTGGAATGTACGTCGCGTCACAGTTTCAAACACAACGAAAGATATCATTTGGAGACAGCGTTTCCTTAGCCTGCCAACGATTTGTGGATTTATATGTACATGTCCAGCGCGGTATGCAAGTCTATTTCGTCTCGTGTTCGGGCGTGATTGCAAAGGTAGGGCGAACGAATCTGCCATCGTGAATTAGCCAAAGTTGTCTACAAAGCCAAGTCTTCAAACCATACCTGTCGCTATTGTAGACCCTGGTCTCTGTGCCGAGTAGCTCCTTCTCTCTCGCCTTATCTGCGAGGTGCCTTCGTACTTGATCGCGGTCTTCTTCGGCTTGCAGCGCGGGGATGAGGTGTATCCGCGCCCACATCTTCTCGCGCGCGAGTTCGCTGCGACTTGTCAGCACTTTCCCTCATATAACCTAAGACTCGCAAGTCTCCTCTTCGATGGCAGGCGCGTACTTGTGCTCTCTGATACCCTGTCCAACTCTCCAGAATCCGTAGGTCATGAGTGCCGCGGTTCCGAAAAGGTATGCGGCGGGGCGGAAGCCTCGTACGGGCAGGTTGCGCTTGTATTGTACGGGGCTGTAGCCGCCCGTTGGCGGCATATCCTGCGGCATGTTGGGCGATTATTCGTGGCTCAATGGGTATTCGAAGTTGTCGTCGATGCGGAGACGTGCAGTGAGGTTCGAGCTCGGGAACCCGCGATGACAGGGATCTGGCTTGGCGCGCTAGCAAGTGAGTGAGCATAATTTTGTCGACGCTGAGTGGGTGGAAGGCAGCACTCTTGATTTTCACAAACCGAGGAAACTTTATTCGAAGATGGATTCCGAAGAGCGTCCTGCGAAGTTGCGCAAGCTAGAGCATGCGCATAGCATTGAGGATGTGGCAGAAGCACCTACAATTCCGACACCAAACGAACAACTACCTGTCGCAGCGGAAAACAGCAATCAAGCCGACGCCGTAGAATCTGTCGGAACACCGGCTGGGAGTGAGAATGCGGAGCCAAAGCTATCAAAAAACCAGCTCAAAAAGCAAAGGCGGCTCGAGCGCTGGGAAGCCGGCCGCGAAGATCGCAAACTCAAGCGAAAAGAGAAAGTCAAAGAGAAGAAAGAGCGAAGGCGAGAAGAGTGGGCGCAGATGCCTACCGACGAGAATGGCAAGAGACCAAGGCCGCCAGCTTCGCGACCTCCTCGGCAGGCAACTGGAAAACAAGTACCAATAACAGTAATCTTCGACTGCGATTTCGAAGAGCTGATGTTTGACAACGAGCTCAAGAGCTTGGGACTTCAGATTACGAGGTGTTACAGCGATAACCGAAAGGCGAACTTCAGGACCCATCTAGCTTTGAGCAGCTTCGGTGGAAAGATGAAGGAGCGTTTCGATGGCATTCTAGCAAAGCAGTACACGAGTTGGAAGGGGTTCCAGTTCTTCGAAGAAGATTTCGTTGAGGTTTCCGAAAAAGCGAAGGCGTGGATGTCAGGGCCAAACGGGGGAGAAGTTCTCGGCGCCTTGAAGACATCAGCAGAAGCCACTGGATCAGGCGATCAAGAACAACCTGATGCTGCAGCAGAGGAAGGCGAAGTCGTCTATCTTTCATCTGAGTCTGACAACGTTCTAACTCACTTGAAGCCCAACAGTACATACATTATCGGCGGACTGGTTGACAAGAACCGACACAAAGGCATATGTCACAAGCGCGCCGTGAACCGTGGGATCAAGACTGCAAAGCTACCTATTGGCGAATACCTCGAGATGAAAAGTCGGCAAGTCTTGGTCACGAACCATGTGCTGGAGATTATGCTCAAGTGGATGGAGTTTGGGGATTGGGGCAAGGCGTTCATGGCGGTCATGCCCGAAAGAAAGGGTGCTAAGCTTAAGAGCGATGGAGACGACGGGGAAGAAGACGCAGATGCTGCGGGAGATGAGCATTTGGATCGAGACCTCGCAGAAGCGACAAAGGAGGCAGACGCCGAGACTACATAGACCATCTGGGGCTTCATTTTGAGAGTGTAGAGACGCCTACACTAGTAGCATTCAATCAAGAATGGAACTCTCGATACCTTCTCGAGCCGATGCATGCTATGAGAAATGCGACTGAGGGTCGCGGGTATGACACGTGTTAACTATCACAGCGCAGAGATACCACCGCCAGGATCGAGCATTACTATCTCAACCACAATCATCCTCGAGTTTTCGACTGACAATGGGGATCCTGGCTTGAATGCACGATGGATACGCGAGGTCAGCCCTACCGGGTAGCGGAGATCAAGCTTTCGCGCGACACGCTAGCAAGCTAAAGCGGTCAGGGCTCCGCAAGCTACACGTCGCGGTGCCAGAGGGTGAGGCAATCACAGAGCATACATCGCCGACATGTCCTGTATTAGTATGCGCTCATCAGAGCCTTCGGATATGCATTCACCGCAACCACAGGCCTGCTTATGTAACAGCCACGTCCCATCCTGGTGGTGTTGTGAGGCTCCAAGCAGCTGTCAGCCCACTAATTTTGCGCAACGTCACAGCTACTCTGCCCTGCGACAGCCCCAGCACACCACCTCCAACACGCGACCCACATTAATTCAGGAACATTACTCCCATCGCAATTAGTTGCCGCTCATGTCGTACCCACCAGATACCCCGTCCTCTTCCCCGTTCCGCTCGCCCTCGTCGCAAACCTCACCGCCATCGCAGCGCTCTACGCCCAACCGCTCGTCCTCATATTTCACCTATCCCGTCTCTTATGCAGTCTCGGGCATCCTGCGACGCTTGAACACGGACGCCATTCCCAAATCAGACGCGCAATCGAGATCGGAGAACAACAGCAACCGTAACAGCGCAAGCAACATACAAGCGCAGTTGCAGTCCACCGCATCTTCACTTTCACACACATTTGCGAATCTCGTCTCCTCTACCACCTCAGATATGAACTCGGTCTACCAGCCGCCACATCGGATAGCGAGCCCTTTCCAACCGCCTCCATTGACACCGCTAAGCCTTAGAGGATGGGGAGGCAACATGCGAGAAAAGGGCAAGCTTCTGAGCACGGCGCTTGCTGAAGAGATCCGGCTCCTGCTTCCACCAAGGTTACAACTAGTGGATGAATGGAGTCTGGCATATAGTCTGGAGCAGAACGGTGTCAGCTTAGGCACACTATACAAGCAATCTGAAGACTATCTGGGCAAGAGAGGTGGCTTTGTGCTCGTGGTCAAAGACGGCAGCGGAGGTGTAAGTTTGCGAATGTCAGGACAACCCCAGGACGAATGCTTACGTATCGCTATAGATATTCGGCGCATATCTCTCCGACGCACCACGGCCCTCCACATCATTTTACGGCAACGGCGAATGCTTTCTCTGGCGCGCGCACATACTCTCCGGTTTCTCAGACCTGCAGATGAACCTCCCACCACCTCCATCCGAAGATACGACGGACGCTGTGCGAATGACAACTATATCTTCACCGAAGAGGAAGGGCGATTCGCTAGCACCACCACAAAACGGTCGGGCCACTAAGAGTGGTGCGAGCACACCAGAGCGGATAAGGTTCAAGGCCTTTCCCTACAGCGGGGTGAATGACTATATGATCTTCTGCGAGCATAGCTACCTGAGTGTTGGCGGCGGGTAAGTAACGGCGATGTGTTATCATCAACAGCTCAGTAGACTGACGGTGTCGCAGTGACGGTCACTATGGCCTATGGCTAGACGATAACCTCGAAAAGGGCGTTTCCGATACATGCCCAACGTTTGGCAACGAGCCCCTGAGCGACGATGGCAAGAAGTTCGAGGTCATGGGCGTCGAACTGTGGTACATTGGCGTATAGGAGTAGATCGTCTACGGACTTTCGCTGAGCAGAAAACTCGTGATCTTTGGCACTGGCGGCATATCGACGGCGTCGGAAGACAGCGTGGAACTTGGCTATGACAAAGCTACATAGCTCATGTCGTATACCGTGTCTGGAGTCACCAGCAGGGGACGGTGATGAGCAAAATACCCATTTGAAGAGTTTGTTTCACGCTTTACATACTCTCGGTCGGCGCCATGGAGTATCATGTCTAACACAGCAATTTCTGGTTTTGTCATCCGGTCGGGCTTTCTCGACGACCTTTGGCTGATCCACACACAAGAAATGTGTAGTTCTTCCCGGGCACGATTGTAAGGTTCGCCTCATTCGGCAAACTTATTGCCTACCTTCAAAACGACTGTTGTGCTCGCCTTGCTCAGATACTGAATCTTTTCTTGGCGGTTCTCTCACCTTGAGATACTGTCACCGCCCCATGACGAGGTGCGCACGGCCCGACTCTCACCTTCTCGTGTCTGCAGTACTTCTATCTAGGTCGTGTCTTCCGTGCCCTTCAGCTTACAACATTCTCATTCTACAAGATCACCATTTGTGCAGATGACCATCACTAAATCTCGAGGAGCGACCAAGAAGTTGGGGCCCATTATGTACCTCACTCCGTCCGTCTTATACCACATGTAACTTGCTGATATGGCGCAGTGTGGGCAACAGAATCATAAGCTTCAAGGCCCCCAATCTTGATCGCCGCTTCACTGTACATGAAGGTAACAACAACACATAAAGCCATTTCAGGAGTCCAACATACTAACACCATGCGTTTACCGTAGATCTCATCTGCAAGACCTCTCGATTCTTCAAAGACCGCCTCCAGAGAAACCGAAAGCCTGTCTTCAGCATTGACGAATGTTGTGTTTGCGCTGAGGCTCTCGACGCCATGATAGGAGACATCTCCTTCTGCGCCAAGTGCGGGCAAAACGTCCATGAAGTCTGCATGGAAGCCTGGAAGCGCTCATCTACTACCAGTTCTAAGAAGGAGTTGATCCCAACATGCCCGATGTGTCGTGCTAGCTGGGAGAACGAGTCACTGCTCAATCAGCTAGACATAGAGTCTGAGCTAGACGCCGAGGCTACGCAAATCTACCTGGACTGGCTGTATACCTCCACTTTACACATATCCGCAAATGTCTCTCGCGTTACCGATGCCTTCAATCTAGTCATCCTCAAACTCTGGACTGTTGCCAACACCGTCGAAGATCCAGTGTTCAAGTCGCAAGTCATTGCCACTTACTTCGCAGAAGCTCGCGCGCGTTTCTGGAAGGAGAGCGTGAAGTGGGCTTTTGTGGATCGTAAATGCGATGAAGAAATTCGAGCTTTCGTCATCGACATATCGCTTGCCTATATCGAGCCCGGTTGGTTCAAGAGCGAGGGCAAGAACTGGCCAGAGGCCTTCGTGAGTGAGCTAGCAGATGCAGCCATGGTCCGGTGGGGAGACAGGAAAGATGGCAGAACGACAAGGAAGATGTGGATGGAGAAGCTGAGCGTAGGAGTGGATCTGACGAGCGATGACGAAGATACTGCGCCTGTAGGCGGCAGCACGAGTTTGGCGTCAGCAGCATCGCGAAGTCTGCGAGGCAGAAATCCAGCTATTGGTCTGAATAGTCCCAAAGCTGAAGCTACGGAAGTACCAGCAACCAGGAAGCGTCCAAGTCAAAAGGTCGAAGTGAGGAAGCATACACATAGTGCGAAGCGTCGGCTGAAGCAAGATGTCCGCTCCATGCCTCTTTCCGATGACTCGGACGACGGCGGACTGGTTGTATACAGGTCGAAAGGATGAGCGTTCGTGACGGCACTGGGAGTCTCCTGTCTTCTTGTTTTCCATTCTGATGACTTGCACCTGGCATTCGGGACTTACACTACCCAAACACGATAGACGAGGTTTGAGCTTGTTTACGCCCAATCGAACTGCATTAGCTCGAAACGAAGACAAATGACCGACTGTGTACATCACAGCTTCACCCCGACCCCCCGTTTCGGTATCGTGCCTTACGTTAACCTTTACTAACGTGAATCACAACAGTATTCACTTTGAGAATACTCTGGGCCTCAGCTCATCAAGTTTACAGGGCCTAGGGGCACTCCTACCGGTTGCGCGTTGCGCACGGATCTGCATTTAACGAAGCAACATAGTGTAACTGAACGATAGAACATCACTCACCCATAGGTACTAGCCTAATCGGCTTGCCGACCAATGCTCACAACTCGACCAGAGAACCGCCCAAGAACGACCTTATCAAGCCATCGCGCCTGCCAAGTAGCGGGAGATGCCAGGACCAGGAAAGATGCCCAAGCAGGAGAAACGCATCAGCGTTAGGAAGAAGCGAGCTATCCGGTACGTGTTCTGTGATGCTTATAACACCAACCGCTGACGCGCTTCTAGGTTCGGCCACAAAATCGTCCGCGTCCAAGTTTCACGCGGCGAGGAGTTCACTGTCCCCGAAGACATCATATGCAGCCGATCCACATTCTTCACGAAAAAGCTACAGCCGAAGCGCAAACCTCTCAAGAAAGACAGTGAATGCGCGATCTGCACGGAACCGCTCGAGCACGGTATACAAGAGCTTACTTACTGCGCTACTCATTGTGGTAACAACTTTCATCATAGATGCATTGAGAAGTGGAAGGCGGAGAAGCAGACAGCTCGTCAACCAGTCAACTGTCCTTTCTGTCGTCACAGCTGGTCGAATGACACCGACGTCATCACAGTACATAAGTTTTCCGCCATCGACGCTGATGCCTTCGCAATATTTCTTGAGTGGCTTTACTATGATCATATCGCGGTTGAAGACCGGGCGGATGAAGATGGCAAATTCTCTCTTGACACACATGAACTTGTTAAGGCATACGTTTTAGGTCTCAAACTAAAGAGCAAGAAGTTCTGTCGAGACGTTATACAGGGATTGGTTGAAGTTAGTAAAGAGATTGATGAATATCCGGGTCCGGACAGCATCCGCCTCGCTTACGATAAGACGGCCAAAGGATCATCACTGAGGTTGGTCTTGGTACAACTATGGGCAGACACAGCGGATGCTGCTTGGATTGAGGACGATGAGACAGACGAGTATCCCGCAGAATTCTTGAAGGATTTGACAATCGCTCTGTTGAGGAAGTATCGTGGTAAACAGAAGTGGGATCTAGAAATGATAATAAAAGGTCAAACGGTGGAGGACTCTATCTTAGTTGACGACTCAGATGAGGACAAGTCGCGTGAAGACGAGGATCAAGAAATGGGGGACGGAGAATAGGAGGATGACGAAAAGCTACATCAGTGAGTACAGGGCACTTACAGCACTTCATACTACTCGATATTTGGTACTGTGGCTGGTGGATAATATCAGTGGAAGCAATGCACTAATAAGTATGACTTTCGACTGCTAGGTATACGACTTTCATGGTGGCTTCAGATATGGAACAACGGTGTAGTGAACCACTTCTTCTTGTCATGCAAGTCGCTGTACGCCGACTTCAGGACCCCTGAACTACTTGAGCATCGTCGGCAACCGTAGCGTGTACTCCATCAACTTTAGCCCCACTTGCAGCTTTCTTCGCTTCCTCCTCTTCACCCACTTCGACAAGAGAGTCATCCTATGTCTTCCTGTCGATATCTACCGCCTCAGTATGAGTTGGCGACTCCTCCTTAGCAAGTACACCACCATCTGTGTGCTGCATTTGACGCTCAGGATCATTCGCATGCGCATTCTCAACACCGATTTCGGCTGTTGAGAACTTATCTGCGACATTACGGTAGGCTGGCACAAAGTTGACACAGAAAGCATAGCTCCACGCCGCAACGAAGAACGCCATTGGAACGGTCATGGCGATAGCGGTGGGCGCATATCCATCCAGAGGCCTAGCCTTCCCTAGCGTATCACTCGCTCCGAACAGTAGTGGAGGGACGACAGCACCACCAGATACACCGGCCACGATGAAGCCCGAGCCTCTCTTTGAGTATTTGCCCAGTCCGCGCATGCCAAGCGCAACAATCGTCGGGAAGATAATACTCTCAAAGAAGAGTACAATGTAAAGCATGCTCATGCCAGTATTGCCTCGCTCGGTAATGGACGGGATGATGAAGATGATACATAACGTCATGAACGCGAGGAACACCCATCGTGGTTTGACGAACTTCATGAAGGCGCTGCCAATGAAGCGACCCATGGTAAAACAGCCCTGCGCACCAGCCAGGAACCGAGCTGCTGTCGAGTTGTCGGTCTCGCGTCCATTTATGACCCGTGTCTCGACGACATAGTTGATGAAGGCTCCAGCTATCGCCACCTGCGCGCCAGTGTAGCAGAACTGAGCAAATGTCGCATGGAAGAGACGGTATTGTTTGCGGAAAGGCTTTACGTCGGTACCAGCGTGAGTGCTCTCAGCCTGGAAAGCCATATCGGCATCTAGTGGATGTTAGCACCTGGTCATTTCCCATTAAGGAGCAAGCTTACCAGTGATCTCAGGTATCTCCGTGAAGTAATAAACGATCGCAAGGAGAAAAACGAAGCATGCGATGCCGAGGTAAGTCCATTGCACGTTCTCAAGGGATGCTTGATCGGTGCCAACGTTGTTGAAGAAGACATATGACCCTAAAACTGGCGCTACCACAGTGCCGATGCCGTTGAAAGCCTGCGCGATGTTGATCCTGATCTCTGAATACTTGGGTGGTCCGCAAACTACTTTCGTTAGTACTGCATCCATCATTCAATCGACTCATACATACCAGCCAGGTAAGGGTTGGCTGCTGTCTCAAGCGAGCCTAGTCCATTACCGATGACGAAGATGGCTACACAAAAGCCTCCGAACGAACGATATACAAGACATGGCCAGGCAAGAAGAGAGCCCACGCCGTAAAGTGTCAGACCCCAGATGAAGGTTGCTTTGTAGCCCCAGTGGCGCAGAAGCCAGTTGGCATGACCGAGGGAAGCAAGTGGGTACGCGCCGAAGTATGCTGCCTGTAAGCCTGAAGAGCGAGCGCGCGTTATGCCAAGGACGTCTTGAAAATGCTTGTTGAGGGTATCGATAAGACCGTACGAGAATCCCTATGATCATCAGCCACATACACTGGGTTTAAGGCATCGTCGTGGCTCACCCAGAGAAAGAATAGAATGGTGACGAGGCAGAGCGGGTAGATGGACTCGCGCAGCGTCAGTTCAGCAGCACGCGTCCTCTGGTCGTCGCGACTGCGCAGTGTGGGTCTCTTAAGGAACCCCATGTTCGCTTTGTGATACGATAGAGATGCCGATTAGCGATTGGTCTGTGGATAATGCCGATCAGGTCGTGGACTGGACGAAAGGTTCGAGCATTGAGGTTGAGTTGAGTGGAGTCAACAGTAGGCAGTCGCGATGAGGTAAATCGGCAGGGTCTTCAGGCCCTCAAGTACCTGCTGTCACCCACGTGAGCTGGCGGCAGAAATGTCGGTCCATGTGCACGGCAACCAGGTTTCGCAAGAACAGACTCGATCTCAGAGGGTGATTCTACGAACCCGCCGTTGCAGCCAAGATGAGGCTTGACCTCATCAAGCAGTGGGGAGGGGAGAAGCTGGGGTAAAACCTGGGGATTTTAACGCTGAGGAGTCTAGCGTGATGTGACGTTGGGAGGATGTTCTGACAGATGATGCATCCTCGGCAGAGTTAGACCGAATGTCTGCATCGATGGTGGTTAAATCGGGTAGTGATCAGCACACGTCGCGTCATGTCTGAACCGCGTTGAAGAGCCGCGGTACATTGCGTGTGCATCGGGCTTTCTGTGGAAAGTAAGTCGAGCAGAAGTTGCGATAGCCATGCTTGTAATAACGGCAGTCGCAATTAGCGTAGTCAGTACCGCTCGGGCAAATACCACCATACACGGCGTCCAGGAGCACCCTAACATCGGACAACCACAGATTATTCCAGAACTGCAATGGAAGATTTGCCCATCTAATCTTTGTTCTTGAAATCCAAGCCGCTCTCTTTCCTCACAACTCCGTAAACACTCGGAATATCTCCTCTGTCCCCGATTTCACTCTTCACCTTATCCAGTCTCCCTTGTGCTAAGCCTAGCATCTTCATACTTTCCTTCGCACCACTACTCTCGGCCAACGACATCGCATGTCTTGCGTCCTTTCGTGCCAAGTCGATATGGAAAAGAGGTTCCTCGCGCTGATAGTAGTCGCCGGCTAGCATGCGCTGCGAGTACGCGGTGTAGGGACCGGGAAACATGGTAGAGATGAATGTGTGGAGGTTGTCTACCCCTAGACCAGACTTTTCGGCAAGGACGTGGCCTTCAGATAGCTGCGAGACCATGTTCAAAATGAAGGTGTTGCCGATGACTTTCATGAGGGTAGCGTTTCCTGCTGGCTGGCCTGAGTAATCGATGTTCGTACGACCCATCACGCCTGTCGTATACGGGACTACCTTATCGCAGGACGCTTTTGAGCCTGCTGTCACACAAACAAGCTGGCCATTGTCCGCCATGGCTGGGGCACCGAATACTGGGATGTTGTCAGGCCCGTCCTGAGGGAGCACTTCTATCTTCACATGCGTAACTTACCTGGCATGCCCACGAACTCACCCCCCTTCTCGGTTATCTTTTTCTCCAAAGCATTCGTCGTTTCTGGGTGTACCGTGGAGCAATCTACAATAAGTTTGCCCTTGACATCTTCTTCGAGCATCTTGTCGACAGCAGCGTTCACGGCTGCATCGTCGCCCAGGCACATGAAGACAATGTCGGAAGGTTTGACAGCATCGTTGATGGTATCGACAACCTTGGTCTTGGAGCTGCCGAGTTTGGATGCGAGGTCTTCGGAGCGGGCTTTGGTGCGGTTGAACAGGATTAGGGGCTTATCGAGGTTACCCTTTTCCACCAAGTTCTGTGGAGTCAGTACGAAAATCAATTTAGAATCTTAGATGCTTCATACTTTGCACATGCCCTGTAACAGTTAGTGACATGGTCGAGCTGATGACCTCCCTTACTGACCCTGCCCATGTTGCCGAGGCCTATCCAAGCGAGTTGAGGCGCCATGATTTCTTCTGGGATCTGACTGTGTCCTTTCTCTCACAACGGAGGCAATGCCAAGTGCGACAACTTATACGGACCTCTGCTTGTACCTTGCGTACGGTTTGTCAGCGCTTCGTCATGGTGTTCATCATCGTCATCCGCCAGTAGCCCGGGGATAAGGCCACACCGGGCCGATGTCGGTTACCAGCAAATGACGTTCGCACGCCGTTATCGATGTTGAGTTCTCGAAAATGCGGATGCGGGCACGTTTCCCCACACATTTGCAGAGTCATACCTCTGCTCCGAGCTCCAGTCACACAATTTTGACCTTTTCGCATGTTCGGCAGCTGAGCGGTAGCATGAAGCATGTTCATCTGGAGCAAAGCCCCCGCGAGGGGCTTGGGGAAGGCTACGAAGAAGGTGAGCGCGACGTCTTCAGGCGTAAATGCAGCAATATTGACCCTTGACAGCTTCCCAAGCGCGATGACAGCGGTAACATCTTCACCAAGATCCAATGCGCGCCTCTCACCACGTCCGCCACCTACGTCCGAAGATCGTCGAGCTCTGCGAAAGAGCGCCAGCGCGCCGAACGTCAGCAGTTGACGCGTCTACTGAAGGAATCGCCCGGTAAACGCGACGCGCGCAACTTCCTCAAGCAGTTCGATGCGCCCAAGAAGGGCAAGGCGGCTATCGCAGCCAAAGCCAGGGAGGTGGTGAGCGAGAATATACACAATGACTCGGGTTCGCTGCGAACCGGTGTGAACCTGGGCGACCTCTACAAGCCCACCGTGTTCACCCGCGAACCGCTTCCCGAGGAGGAGTACCAGGCCGAAGAGAAGGATGAGCCGGTGCACATGGCGCTTGTCAAGCTTCGGCAGCCTCAAACCCTCGACGACCGCACCTTGGGCGACATCGCATTGACTCTGAGTCAGATGGCGCAGCTGGGGCTCAGCACTGCTGTAGTGCTCGACTGCGATCACGATGCCGATGCGCACACCACAGAGTTGACATTGGAATACGGAAACATGGTCAGGGAGCAGGCATTGCGCTTGGTTGCAGCGTTGGAAGACTACAACGAGCCAGGAGCTCTGTTGGTCGAAGATGCTTTGGGCTACTCCCCACTGGCCAACGACATACCCAGTACCGTCCAGGTACGGGGAGGTGTAGAGGTACAGCACAATTACCTGCTACTTCCGCCCATCGACGACGGCGTTATTCCAGTCATAACACCCTTCGCCTACGACACAAATCTGAAGAAAGTCAGGGTCCAGGCAGA